GTTGTCCCCCTGGGTGTATGATTGGTGAAAGAAGGTGCCTCCAGCCCTGAAGAAGGACGAGCGGCAAAGACAACAGCGTTGTCCACCTGTGAGGCTGGCTGAGCTGAAGCAGTAAGGCTGTTTGTTGGAAGGGCTGCTGACTGGAGCTGTGGGGCAGGAGTCGTAGTTGGTTGTGTCTGCTCTGCACGAGTTGCAATCCGACGCCAGAACGCTGCACAGACCCTGTTGAAATCAGCATTGAATTTGGCTTCCCATGGCATCTCAGGTTGTTTCCCCGCTGCGTCAGTCATTTTGGTTGCGGCCCAGGGGCGAGTCGTGGCAATACAGACTGCCGGGATGCTCTTGACTTTTTTCCCCCAGTGGGGAAAAGGATGTCCCCCACCAGTCCAGAGTGGGATGTGATTTTACTCACCTTTTCCGCATGCCATGCTGGTCTCACCGTGGCTGGCCCTGCCTGGTCCTACCTCCGTTTTTATGATCTCAGCCAGCGGCATATATACCGTGGTCACAGGGGTCGCAGCTCCACTCCAGGGGTCTGGCCGCAATATTATATGGCAACCGGTGGAACATCCCAGACACCCCATGAAATCCTAATTTTTTTATTTTGTTGACTCCAAGATATATTTTTAGACCAGGTCTGTAGAGATCAAAAGGCCCCGTAGATTATTGCTATGTTTGTAACATATAATAGGTGTTTTTTTAGAATGTATCAGCCAGGGACGAATCAGCTGCCAATAGACTCCATTTCTTTCTCACAGTAGATACCAGCCTTGGTGTAGAAAAATTAAACGTAATTGGATTTTCAATCTTGTTTCCTTTGGTCTTGCTTGATTTACCATGTGAGTTCTGACTTTCACCATTGACACCTGTAGGACCCTTTGGGGTTATTCTGTATTCTGAAATTTGTTTTGCATCTCCAATTAATTATAGTATTATAAATAATTATTTATCCCTCCTTACTTCATTCAAGTTATTTCTTACAAGTTGGAAAAACTGGGAGAACAACAATGATTTTTTAAGGTATTTGGCATGTTGATTGTTTAATGTAGAAAGCTGTTCTGGTCCCTTGGTTTGGAGTACAATTAATCCTCCAATTTTGTTCCCTGAATTAAAATTTTCACATCCATTTATAGTATGGAACTTAGACTCATCTGAGTAATCACCTTAATCGGAATTAGTAATGCATTAATATACTTAAAGTTCTGTGCCTTCTGTAACATTCCACACTACAAAGTCAGGACATCATCAATAAATCTGTAGCATCTTTGTAGATATATATTTTTTTTACTACTCTTCCTTTTCCCCTTTTATTGGTTACTTCTCACTTGTTCTGTGAATAAAATCAACATATAGTGGCTGTGAAGTTTTCGACTTCCTCATCAATCATCTCTTGTTTAAGCACCACAGACAGAAATATCAAATCAAGTGAACATGTTCTGTCATCCCAATAGCTCTTTACTAGGTTATCCGCTGTATGGCACTTCAGAGATCCAGTTCTCAGCTGGACAGCAGATCTGCTAAATTTAAATAAATTGTAATACAGTCAAAACCATATCCACAACACTAGTAATTGTGTTAATAAGGAATAAATACAACTATTCTTCTATCTGTGCTATATTTAAGTATCATTATTAGAGTTGAGTGCAGCATGTGACCCAGCCTCTATATATAAGCTGGAGTCGCGTAGCGCCGCATGCACATAAGGTCTTATTAGTGTAGGGAGAGGATGCTACCGCTGTGAGGGGCAGCTTAGGAAAGAATTCAGCAAACTAGAACATTAGTGGGGTGCACTTCATATCTGAGAGTCAACTAGAATCATCAAATACTGCTGTCACATTGCAGTTTTAAAACTTAAAATAGTTTGGGTGCTAAGCTGCTAAATAGTATTTTATTGGGGTGCACTTCATATCTGAGAGTTAAATAGAAGCGTCAAATAGTGTGCTTAAAGCGCAGTTGTAAACATTCTAATTGTTTTGGTGCTAAACTGCTAAATAGTACATTTTGGGGCGTGCTCTTCATATCTGAGAGTCAAATCGAAGCGTCTAATAGTGCGCTTACAACGCAGTTGTAAACATTCTAATTGTTTTGCTGCTAATCTGCTAAATAGTACATTTTGGGCGTGCTCTTCATATCTGAGAGTCAAATCGACTTGTAAACATTCTAATTGTTTTGCTGCTTATCTTCTAAATAGTACATTTTGGGCGTGCTCTTCATATCAGAGTCAAATCGAAACGTCTAATAGTGCGCTTACAGCGCAGTTGTACACATTCTAAATTTCTGGGTGCTAATCTGCTAAATAGTACATTTTGGGGCATGCACTTCATATCTGAGAGTCAAATAGAAGCGTCAAATACTGCGATGACAGCACAATTGTAAGCATTCTAATTGTTTTGCTGCTAATCTTCTAAATAGTACATTTTGGGCATGCTCTTCATATCTGAGAGTCAAATCGACTTGTAAACATTCTAATTGTTTTGCTGCTTATCTTCTAAATAGTACATTTTGGGCATGCTCTTCATATCTGAGAGTCAAATCGCAGCGTCTAATAGTGCGCTTACAGAGCAGTTGTAAACATTCTTATTTTCTGGGTGCTAGTCTTCTAAATAGTACATTTTGGGCATGCTCTTCATATCTGAGAGTCAAATCGACTTGTAAACATTCTAATTGTTTTGCTGCTTATCTTCTAAATAGTACATTTTGGGCATGCTCTTCATATCTGAGAGTCAAATCGCAGCGTCTAATAGTGCGCTTACAGAGCAGTTGTAAACATTCTTATTTTCTGGGTGCTAGTCTTCTAAATAGTACATTTTGGGCATGCTCTTCATATCTGAGAGTCAAATCGAAGCGTCTAATAGTGCGCTTACGGAGCAGTTGTAAACATTCTTATTTTCTGGGTGCTAATCTGCTAAATAGTAAATTTTGGGCGTGCTCTTCATATCTGAGAGTCAAATCGAAACGTCTAATAGTGCGCTTACAGCACACTTGTAAACATTCGAATTGTTTTGCTGCTAATCTTCTAAATAGTACATTTTGGGGCCTGCTCTTTATATCTGAGAGTCAAATCGAAACGTCTAATAGTGCGCTTACAGCGCAGTTGTACACATTCTAAATTTCTGGGTGCTAATCTGCTAAATAGTACATATTGGGGCCTGCTCTTCATATGTGAGAGTCAAATCGAAGCATAACTTTGATTCGAATTTACTACATCGGTCACTTGTAATATTGTTTCACACCTACAACACTTGTTACACAGATCTAAGTGATAGAAAACAGATATTTTCTACACTAGAAACTACCAGATAACAGGCTGCTATATTTCGTTCTGGAAAAACACAGGTGCCAACTGCTGTGGCTTTCTGCAGTGTGCATAGCGGCAAGGAGGGTAGGGTTGAGGAGTGGGTGGAAGATGATGTGGAGGATGATGAGGTCCTACACCCCACATGGAATCAAGGTCATGTGAGTGACGTGTGCAGTTTGGAGGAAGAGGCGCTGGTCGCACAGAGGCACCAGCACAGCATAATAGGGAGCAGGGTGCAAAAGCGGAGCGGCCGTCCCCTAGCACTCGTCGGCATGTATTATCTTTAGAATGCCCACAGTTATCCAAGTAACAGATGGAGCAATAAAAGGAACCATAACAGATTTAACAAGCCATTCGCAGTCTGGTGACGGGGACCCAGACACTTTCTGGGCGGCGGTCGGACGACCGGGAGCCAGTATGCCTGATGTAGAAGTTAGGAGTCACAGTGTGGAATGGATTAGCAGGGTCTGGTGCAGGGTAACCACACGCCCCCTGGTGTTGAGCACTAGCGTTTGTGCGGCCACATACCAGGACCCTGATGCAGCTTCAGTAAAAAGAGTACTGGATACCAGAAGCCATCACCAGACTGATCCTCAACTTGGAACAGGATGTGACAATCACTTGCTGTGCGTGCTTTCGGCGTTCTCACCCTGCTCTGCTCGCCTGTCTTTGCTGCAGCGTAACTTTGGCCTTTCCGCTCACTGCCTCATATGCGACATGCCCACAAGGTAGAACTCCACCTTGCACATGCTGGAGAGACTGAGCAGCAGCAGGCGATAGTGGAGTTTCAGCTGCAGCACGCACGGGTCAGTGGCTCTGCACCAGACTTCCCTCCAATTGATCAGAGTTAAAGGATTTCAAGTGGATTCATTACAATTACAGGGCCTCTAAAGAGTCCTGTATTATTATTTGTCGTCACTACTTTCCCGCGTCGGGAGTGGGTCATTTGCTCGCCTGCTGCCTTCCTTGCATGTGGTAGCCGTTTGTCAGGGTCCCTGTACGGAATCGAACCCTGATTCCCTATTACCCAAGGTCACCATGGTAGGTGCAGTCAATGGCATCGAAAGTTGATATGGATTGACATACGAATGCGTGGTCGCCTTTGGCTTGATGGGAGTTGAGCCAGTTCTGGGTGGCCCTTGTGATGCCATGGTGAATCCCCAGATATATCAGAGCTGCTGCAGAAAATGAGGGCCATCTGTGCGTGCTTTTGGCATTCTCACCCTGCTGCTGCTTGCCTGTCTGCACTGCAGTGTAACTTCGGCCTTCACGCTCACCGCCTCATGAGACTGTGTGAGCAGCAGCAGGCGATAGTGGAGTTTCAGATGAAGCACGCACGGGTCAGTTGCTCTGCGGAACAGTTTTCTTTTTTTATATGTCCCAATATTTTGAGGGCTACCCCAATTAAAATAAAAAATAGATATATATAAACAGTGTTGGCTACCTCCTCCTCCTCCGCCACAGCTTTCACCTACACCACCACGGTCACTGCCTCATCAACCTATGGGTCACTTAGTATAAACTATGTACACAATAGCAGAGGCTTGTGAAGGCCTTTTCTCCATGCATCAGGACTGCAAGAAATGCACCGCAGGCTGCAAATGTTTATTTTTTTGTATTTCCCAATATTTTGGGGGCTAACCCAATTAAAATAAAAAATAGATATATATAAAGAGTGTTGGCTTCCTCCTCCTCCTCCACCGCCGCTTCCACCTACACCGCCACGGTCAGCACCTCCTTAAGCGATGGGTCAGTTAGTATAAACTATGTACACAATAGCAGAGGCTTGTGAAAGCCTTTTCTCCATGCATCAGAAGTTGAGCATTTCTCCATGCATCAGGACTGCAAAAAATGCACCGCAGGCCACAAATGTTTCTTTTTTTGTATGTCCCAATATTTTGGGGGCTACCCCAATTAAAATAAAAAATAGATATATAAAAAAAGTGTTGGCTACCTCCTCCTCCTTCACCGCTGCTTCCACCAACACCGCCACGGTCACCACCTCCTCAACCTATGGGTCACTTAGTATAAACTATGTACACAATAGCAGAGGCTTGTGAAGGCCTTTTCTCCATGCATCAGGAGTTGAGTTCAGTTTGAACAATGAAAGAGAATAAAGTGAACTTAGTGGATCGTACTACCACCAAAAGATCACTCAGTGGAGCGCTAAATATCAAATTCTTACCCCTATTGGAATAACGTATATATCACTTTAAGGGGCAGACAGCATAATAAAATCTACAACAAGAAAATACACATCATGGTGCAGTATGCTTGTAAGGTGTGAATGGAGTGGAAGAAGATGTATGTCCAACTCACATGGTAAAGAGCCTGGAGATTGGCTCAAATCACAACAGCTGAGGTATGTTTGGTAATACCAGACCTTCTCCAGATATACAGCTCACAACATATGTGGATAAAAAAGGACAAAAATCCTAGTGCAAGTATGTTTAAAATAAACAAGTGGTCACATATAACAGTGCATGAATGTGTTCACCTGGAATAGAGCCAATTGTACTAGGCTCTATGTATAAGCGTGTGGTGCCTTTAAGGGAGGCACTACCCTTCTTTAGAAAATGCAGGAAGCAGTTGAAGATCCACTACCAGATGTATAAGGTAAAAGTAACAATTTATTAAAAAAAAAACAATTAAGCAAAGTAAAACTGTATATACAGATACCAAAAAGTAAAAGTCTCTGGGGTGGTCTTCCTTGGAGTTCCGAGACGCGTTTTTGCCGTGGGGCTTTCTCAATCGGATGAATCTGCTTCCTGAATGGGCGATGTTTAAATGTTGGCGCCGTCCGTCTGATTGGACGTGCTGATTGCCGGGTAGCCAATCGTAATGCATGGAATGTGGAGGTGTGTCTCACAGCTGACGGTCGTGAGTCCGGGAGCTCAAAACCCGGAAGTACCATGAAGTGTAGCCAATCTCACGTGGTTAATTGACGTTGTCATTTGGAGCATGTTCAGTGGTTACTAAGCTGTCCGAGGAGCCATCTTGGTTATGGGCAATAGCTCCATAGTTAGATCCGTTTTTTAAAAGTCCAATATTGCATAAAGAGTCCCATATTAATAGTAATATATAAAATAAAAAGAACATGGTTATACATAGCAGAATAATAATATTAAGCATATATACATAAAGGGACTATTGACTCTCATTATATGCTTGCAATCAAAAGGGAAATGTGCTAAAAAAAAAAAAAGGCAATCAGATGATTGAAAAAAAGGTGGCACAACACATGTCAGTGAATGAAGTGGATAAGCAGTGCCAACTGATCTAAAAACATACATAAAAGATCCAATTAAAATTTAAGTCTTATCTTAAAAAGTGGCAAAGCTCAAAATCATTATTTAAACCATATGGTTGTAAACTGTTTAAATTAAAGATCCACTTCATTTCCATTTGTCCCATCTTTTTAATGGTATCATCACCTCTCCAATTAAGGTGAACTCTCTGCATTCCCAAAAAAGTCATCTGATTTGGATCACTATTGTGTTTGATTTTAAAATGTAGTGATAGACTATGTTTGGTATATCCATTTCTGACATTGCGTACATGTTCTTGTATCCTGACTTGCAAGGGGCGAGTAGTGCGTCCTATATAGACAAGATTGCAGGTGCATTTAATCATATAAATTACATGTTTGGTGTGACATGTAATGATTTCTTTAATTATAAACTTTTGATCTTTATCATGAGGGTGTTGGAAATTTTTTATATGACGTTTAGAGCTTTTTGTGTTTTTACAAGCACCACAAATTCCACATCCATAAAAACCACTACTTTCATTGAATGGATTTCCTTTAATGTTTTTCTTCAATGAAGAATGGTTTTGAGTCAAATTACATTTTAAATTGGGGACACCCCTATAGACGAGTTTTGGTCTGTCTGGAAGAATTTGTTTTAGAACCTCATCGCTTTTTAAAATGGACCAATGTTTATTTAAAATTTTCTTGAGTTGATTACTTTGACAATTAAAATCACTTATAAATGGCACATTATCCCAATTCATATTTGATGGTTTATTTTTGTACTGGATCAATGATTCTCTATCCTGCAGATTGACTTCATGGAGGGCCTTTTTAAGAAGTGAATTGTCATAGCCCTTATCACTAAAGTCACCAATAATTCTTTGTGCTTGTTCGCAGAACTTTTCATTATCTGTACAGTTCCTCTTAATCCTCATGAGTTGAGATTTTGGGGCATTTAGAAGCCATGGAGAATAATGACAGCTATTTCCTTGGATATAGCTATTTACATCAATTTTCTTAAAAAATGTGCTCGTTTTAATTACATTGTTTTCTATATATATATTGAGGTCTAAAAAGCTAACGTTTTCTTTACTATAGGAGCTGGTTAACTTAATGCCCCAATTGTTATTATTTAAATGTCCCAAAAACTGTTGAAGTGATGACTCATTTCCAGCCCAAATGAAAAAAATATCATCGATATAACGGCGATAGGCAACCAGATTCGCACTCCATTCTGGGAATCCAAAAATGTGTATCTGTTCCCACCGAGACATGAACAAATTAGCATAGCTGGGTGCGAATCTGGTGCCCATCGCCGTACCACACAGTTGCAAAAAAAATTGGTCGTTAAACCAAAAATAATTATTGGTCAGTATCCAAAAGATCCCTTCCAAAATAAAGTCTATTTGTGCAGGAGGAAATGTATCTGATGTTTCTAAAAAATGTCTGGTTGCTTCACAGCCTTTGTCATGCGAGATAATAGTATATAACGAACTGACGTCGGCTGTAACCAGAACATAATCACTTTTCCATTGAATATTTTTTAGGATCTGAAGTATATTAAGCGTATCTTTCAAATAGCTCGGGGAGCTCTGTACCAGGGGCTGTAAGCAGTTGTCGATATATTGCGACAATTTGCTAGATACAGAGCCAATACCCGAGATAATAGGACGACCAGGTGGTTTATCTATTTGCTTGTGTATCTTGGGGAGATAATAGAATATAGGTATTTTGGGGTATTGTACGTTCAGGAATTCAAATTCTTTTGTATTAAGAATGCCTTCCATTCTCCCTTTATCAATAAATTGGTTATACGTGATCTTAATATCATTTGTAGGGTCTTTAGATAGAGTTTTGTATGTGCTTTTGTCTCCCAATAGTCTAAGGGATTCTTCCAAATACGCTGCTCTCTCCAAAAGAACAGTACCCCCTCCCTTATCCGCTGGTTTAATAACCAGCGTATGGTCTTCTCTAAAACTTTTTAGGGCCTGACGTTCAGCAAAATTCAAATTGAAATTGCTTCTCTTTGGTTCTTTTATTTTATTTACATCTTGCATAACCATTCTTTCAAACGTTGTCATTTCCTCGGAAATAAATTGTTTAGGAAAGAAGAGGGAGGGATTTTTTAGCAAAGTGTGTGAAAATTCTGAATCAGAATCAGTTTCTGATCTTGTAATTGGATTTTTGAAAAAATACTTTTTAAGACTCAATTTCCTCTTAAATTTATTAAGATCAATGTACGTGTCGAATTTATTCAGTGTTCTAGTGGGTGCGAATTTCAAACCCTTTTCTAGCAAAGAAACCTGTGGAGCAGACAACTGTCTGGTCGTCAGGTTAAATATGCCATTGTGACTTATTCCAGTTTTTATCTTCTTCCTTTTTTGTGTAGGTAATCCTCCTCTGACTCCCCTTCTTCTAAACTCCTTTCCCTCTTGTGAAGTGGTCGTAATTTTACGGGACTGGATTTGTGTTTCCCTTTGATTTGTGTATCCCAAAAATCCTCCCCTCTTGATAATTGTGACAAATGTGTAAATCTATTGTGCGTGGGGATGCTATAGTTTGAAGTAGATGTTGTATTGCTTCGTTGCGTGGGAGTGTATCTCTCTTCCCTCCTAGAGGGCCTGTGGTGTTCAGTATCTCCTGATGATTGTGTACGTGAACCATAGTGGTTGCGAGGTTTAGGTCTAGTCATGTATTCCCGTGGCTTTCTGCCTCTTCTAGGTGAACTGTATGTATCATTAAAGGAAACATGTCTTTCTCTCCATATTGGTGACTGATTGTGTATCTGAGTATGGTAGCTTTCGTGAGCCCGATTGTTTCTCATGTCTGATGTCCTGGGTGTTGTAGTGTATCTGGTTGAATGTTGGTAATTCCCCCTATAGTCTCTAGCCATTTGATGTCTATTGTCATCATTAGTCTTATATGGCTTCTTTGGGGAATAGAACTTCTTTTTAGAATATGTACGCACTTGTTTATTGGCATAGTCAAATTTAT